TAATATGAGTCAAGACACCCAGGTAGAATGCTTGGTTTGTCGTTTGATCCTCCTTTACGAATTCGTGACGATCCGATGATGTAACAAAAAATCATGATCCTTGATAGCGGGTTTTATGAAGCGCTTAAGAAGAAGCCCTTTTTGGGAGGGTCTCCCAGTTTATTTTTGATTTGGCCTAACTGATAAAGGGAAGGAATACAAATCTTATATGATAATGAAGGGTTTGAATATCTCAGGGTGGGTTAAGTTAGGTGAATTGGGGAATCCAAAAGTGCTTTTAATTATAAGCGTTCTGATCCACAGAAAAGGAGGACATCGATTTCTTTGAAATGGATCTAAATAAATATATAACACTAAAGATCATGAGAGAGAGAGAGAGAGATCATGAAAATTGTGAATGTAATATACCAGAAATAATTCCTATTGAATGTTATGCCATAAAAACTATCAGAATCTCATTAGTTTCAATTCTAAATTAGAGGTTCCAAAGGGTCATGTGCCATTTTCCAAGAAATATGGTTACAAGCATGTGAATCTTCTAATGTGGAGCTTCTGAATACTTACCTCTTGAAAAGGAACATAGTTTAAGGCAACGTGCCCTATCTTATGCATATTACTGAATCGGTTTTGGGGCCAAAACTGGACTGACCTAATCTAACCTAACTTAAAAAAAAACTTTTAAAATCCTCAAATTCGGAATTAAAATTGCATTTTTGTTTTGCAAGTGACACTTTCAAATGATACCTGGATATGCTTAATTATATTGAATTTTGGGGGCCAACATCCTTTAGTTCAAACTTCATCATGATCGTTTCTCGGCCGGGGTGAGGGGTATTTTAAACTGGCTCACATAGTCATGAAAAAATAGCCTGGCAATTTCCACTTATGCATTTCTATGAATGTGTTTCTGAAGGAATGGGAGGTGTGGAGAGGCCAGTAAATATTTTCTCATAAAAATGATGAATAGTGCTCATAAACGGTATAGAAACAATTTTCATGGTCGACGTTTCCGGGAAAAACTGTGGTAATCCGCTATCCTTGTATATTGCTCAGTTCAAGAGGGGAAGGAGCAGGTATTATGTGCGACGCACAGAATGTTCCTGCTCCCACCCTACAAGCAAATGCCATGTGCTCGTAGGGGATTTCAGTCCTTTATTATGAAGTCAAATGAAAAATAATGAGTAGTCAGGCTGGACTGGATAATTGGGAAATATATATATTTGCAAATATTACACCTAATGTCAATAGAGACCTTTCCGGCCGTGCTTCAAGCGACTCCACTTAATACGTGACGCTCGATCGAACTGTTCAGGGGAAATTAATTCATTCATCTCGTAAAGCGATTCTGTCTCAAGAGATTTAATTCTTGAGTCTAGAAATTATTATTTCTTTCATTTCTTCTGCCACGACAATCCCCTCGAGGTTGAGTGATTCATTCACACCACTGGGGTCACTCCTATCCCGTCCATTTCCAAAAAACATCTCGAACAACAAATGCCAAATAATTTTTAGGAAAACCATCTATGCTTATTGGATATGGCTCCAGGTGACTCAGATGGTTCAGGCCCTACACGACAAAGGATGAAACTCTATCCATATATTCGGTGTCGCATATGCACGTTATTTTCTAAAAAAAAAATTAAATAACATTGGTCGTTTAGAGGCCTTATGAACAGCTATTTTTTCACATGTCTGAGCGAGTCTGCTGGTCTGGCTCCTTTGTTGAAGTTTCGGAACACCAATCCCATTATTTGTGAATAATCCAGGGTTTTCACCCTGGTATACTTCGCTTTTTGACCTCGCGCATGATGAACGTAACTAGGATTATGAACGGCAATTCCGCTTAAATCTTCACGTTATAACCTGCTGTAGAATGGGGTGAGTTGACCTCAGGTAGTCTACGGGTAGGTCTAACCCAATCATATTACCTTACGTGACCTTTTTCCCTAAAATGTTAACGTCATTCTTTTTTTTTACAGATGCGGATTACAGTTGAGGCGAAAAAATCAATAAAAGAAAGTTAATAGTGATCCAGATACTCTACGTCAAAGTTGTGAAGTGGAGTCAACACAACCCACGCTACGGCGCTCATGTGTCACTCCATGAACGTTTTCATAAGAAGTAGTACACAGAATTTTGATAAGCAACATATATATTTGACATATCATATACATAAAAGTTTGATACGGATAGAATCTTGTGGGGAGGGAACAAACATGGAATATATAGATTGATGGGAAAACCGCCATCGATCACAGCTTGTAAAGCACTCAGACCACATGGATTACGTAAATTTGGGACTCTGCAGACAACACATAAACTCACACAATGTGAACAGAAGAATCTACATTCCCCACTTCTCATTTTATGGAAGCTTCATCCCCAATGCAGCTTATGGTCATCTTGCAACAAAACTCCAGGATTCCCTGAAGCACTAGAGAGTCTTGCCTGCGAAACAAGATGAGATCGGTCAACATGTATACATAAATATGGACAAAACGAGACCATCACACTATCCCTTTCACATTTCACGCCGTTTGACGAGGGTGTTTCTTGCGAAATTCATATTATAGAATATATTATTTTCCATTGCATTTGTATGCACTCTCGAAAAGGAAACTGAAGTGTTTTTGGCACCTGACACCGATTCAGAGGTTCCCTGAATAAGGCCGTGCACAAATTGATGAGCATTTTGACTTGCTGCTGAAGGCATGGGCGTTCGCGTGCAGGCAGTGGAACTAGGTTTGTATCATATTCTTTGGCACACCACCACGCAATGCCGGTTCTTACTACTCATTCCTACCTCGGGGTATAAATGGTCTGGGAAAAAGGGTTGTCAATTAATCCCTCGAACATATCTATGGGAGCAGCACTTTTTTCAACGTCATTAGAGAATGAGTACATGGAAGGTTCTTTAGGTGGCTCGCCCCTTCATATCACATCTGCAAATAAGTTTTAGCCGTTGAGTACCTCCTTTGCAAGAAAGGAAAATATATAATTTTGCTCTCAGGGAAAAAGGTAAATATATATTACGCATTAACGGAATCACTCAAGAATCCATTTGAGAGGGCTGTTCATTCAATACAACTAAAGCAGCAGCACAGTTGCCTGTAACTAGGTGATCGGAGTTGACGTTGCCTGCAAGGTGCATTGCGCTCTTAGGATTGCGTGTACATCGCCGCAGCGCTCTGAGCCGGACCAGTCCCATGCCTTTGTCGGACGTATCATTGGTTCGCCGTTGTGATACAGCTGTTATCGGACACGGCGAACCGGATAGTATGGGTACCGCCGACCGAGATATTTATAGCTGCTGAAAACTCTGATAGTGATGCGTCGAAATGATTGTCTTCGAAAAGCTTGAGTCAAACTTCGACGTCCTGGAACATTTAGAAGTTATTCAGTTCACCAGCTCCCAATGCCTCAAGGAAAACATCGAATACATGTAATGCATGGCGTATTGCCGCCAATAAATTTCATTTAAATATTACCCCTCCAAATATTGTATGTCATCCCATGAGGAATAATTTGATCGGGGTTCTTCGTACCTTATAAGAAACAAATAAGTTCCTGTAGGTACCGTAATATGGATTTATTTCTTTTAGTCAGGGACGAAATTCACGTAGCACATGGTGACTATTCCCCTTAGAATTTTGTCAAGAAATAGTCTTGAAAAAAGCAATAGTAGTTCTTTACAGTCCTTTTTTAAATACAATAAGTGTAAATCAAATATTGGGGCCTAGTATGCCATCCTCTGAAGAAGTCATTTGCTGGTATACCGACATATCAATCAATTGCCTTCAATCCACCTCCTGGTCACTCAGTTGAAGTCACCATATGCACATCCAGAAACTGAATATTTTTGAGACATTGCAATCAAGACCTGTGTTAATGAGTCACACGCGAACTCCAATGTAATGTGAGATGTAAGTAGCTGTGAGACGGCTATTCCCACGATCAGTTGCTGGTGACTTAAATTCAATAATCCCAAGAATGTGCCATTCCCTTTCCCACTACATCCCATATATCATAGGGTGTGTGTAGGTGTGATATGGTTCGCCCAGGTAATTTGAGCGTGACAATCTCACATGACACGGCAAGATACTTGTCAGTTGTAAATATAATTTCGGAAGATAGGTTTCCCAAATTATCAACCATAATTCAACGCCCATAACCTTAATTAAATGAACGGTCAAGGTTACTACGTCTCCATATCCAGCGAAACATCGAACGTAGCTCATTCTTCCCAGCTGTACATCTTATGTGGGTAAGACCTTGAGTCTTATCATGTATATATGAGGATATATTATGCTGCCAATAAGCAAGGTTTGCTATTTGAGTCATATAAATGAGATGACATCATGTAACCTCACCGTGAAACGTCAAATGGTATTGACGGCAATTTCATGACCTTGAACCCTTCCACGACGGAATTTTTTGCGTGCCGCGGGCCTCCTAACAGTTTTTCTTGTGGGTGTGCACACTCAATATTTAGTTTGGCTTGAAAAATCCAACGCTTGCAACCAAAAGCAATTAAAAGTTGTACCTACCTTAGTAGTTGGTACTTCACTATGAAGGGGATTCATCAACCATTGCTGACTATGATTAAGAAAAAATGGCATTAAGTTATTTTGAGGTTATGTTTTCATAGCATGTACGGATATGGTGAGCCATACCTGAATTTGAAAGAAGTTGGCGTTCCCTCTTAGATATAGCCGTCTTCAAAGCACAGCAACGAAGTTTCGCAGGGCATTTGAAAAGGTTGGAAAAGTCACTTTTGCCATTTCCTCGACATTCATCAAGCAGAGAAGCCTTCATGCATCTACCAATAGAGTTGCCACACTGGGGAGGGCCGCCTGATTCACCTTTCACTTTGCAACAATATTTCCCTCTCTCCTTACATTCTGTTTCGTTTTTTATTGTCGATGACACGCAGGACTGGATGTCTTTCACGCACTTTCTATTGCAAGGTGGCAATGAGAGGGGCATGCGAGTAGTCTTTCTCACGTGGCAACATACTCTTTCTTCGGGGCAAGATGTGTCAGATATCTCCGTTCCCGGTTCACATAAGCTTTTAGCCGAGGGATTAAGGCAGGAATGGCTGGTTGGACATGGTTTTGCTGCAGATATCCAACAACAGACTTGTGTGTCCAAAGGACATGTGTGAGAAAAATTTGCACGGCATAAGTCACACATGTACATGAACTGTTTATCGATGCATTTGAAACCCAAAGGACACGTTGAACTAGCTTTCTTTTTCAGTGCTGGGGTCACGTCCGTGGTTATTCGAGTTGCCGGCTGGCAACACAATTCCTTTGGGCTGCAGTTATCCGCTGTTAAAATTACAGTTCCTGGCGTGCATAGAGACGCGTCTTTGGTATGAACACACTTATAAGGGCATAGGTAACAGCCTTCAAAAGATGCAATATGCAGGTTCTTCAATTCGGTCCCATTCTTGCATTTCCCACTTTCTATATTTTTCAGCAATCCTGAGGCAGATGCCAACCAAGCCAAATGACAATCGCACTGAATGGGACTTCCTGGAATGGAAGAACAATTAACGTAACGACGAAGATGAAAAGAGGTAAGTTTGGGAGGGGGGCGGGCGTTGCTTTCAGCGAGAGGAGATACTGTGACTCACCCTCTAGGGTGATGTACCCATCAGCTTTTGAAAGTTCCTCTAGTAGTGGGCGGAATATTTCTTCGGGCAACGTAGTTATCTTGTTCGCAGATAGGAAAACCGTTACATTAGGTGTGGGGCCTGGAACAGATTTGGACAATTCCATTATTGTACTCTTTCAGTGTGGCATGCTATGGAGTAGGCTATTCTCCGAGCCAATATAACTGACAATGCCATATTAAATTTACTGATTCAAAAAGGAATTTAGGGCAAGGAATACGGAATATAAACAAAAAGTTGGAAAGCGTTTATCAGCTCACAGGAAATCCTCAGTGTAGATAGATGGAAGGGATCCATACACTCGAATTAACATCCCATCAAATCCTTCACTTGAGACTAAATCAGCATTAATCCAATACTCCCTTAATAAACCAGATTGAAAGGGATAGATAGAAGTTTGAAAATAAAGAACCAGTGAAAGAAAACAGAATGGAGAATAAGCAAATACCAGGAAATGAATGTTTGATGTATGAGGGAATACTCATTCAGACTCATATGCTTTGAGGGGACGACATCCGCCACTTTATAGCTGTTGCATTTATGGCAACACCCCATCACATATTTTTATTATTTTCGTTTCAAGTTTTAGTTATTACATTGGTTATAAATAATTGCATTTATTGCCTTTTAAATTCGATTTTCACCTGTAAATCAATTAACGTATTTCACTAATTCAAGCATATGATAGTCTGCAATCGTGTCAGGATACTTTACGAGTCCTACAGCACGTCACTGTACTTGGTTCCACAAGGTATGGTATGAAGGTATGCGACAAACTTAAAGATACTCTTTCAATTCAACCGATTCCCAATATTTTCTATTCATGAGAGAATCCGTTTCCGTTTTTGCTTGCTCCTAAAACGAATTTATAGCCGGTTAGAATTTTCATACCTATATTCGGAACACTCCTCGAATGTACTGATTACTTATGTGCATTATTATTTACGATGAAGCCAAATGCAGAGTGACGCAGTGGAAGGCCCAACGTTATAGCAATCCAAGACATGTATGACACGTTCTGGGTCATTTTCGCAGGTACTTATCAATATCTATGCACAAGGCATTTCGCAGACTATAGTGAATGTACATTAACCGAAGGCACAAGAGTTTTTCGGCAATATGGACCTGCCTTTAGTCACCCAATACTATTATATTTTATCTCATTTGGCATGTAAGCTAGCCTATTCCCTATGGCCATCAATTGGACTAGTCTCTGGAAGCAACATGCAGAATAATCAGCAACCAAATACTGGAGGTTTCTCGGTCTTGAGCGTAAAATCTGAAGTGGACGTAGAGAACCTCCCATGATGACTAGATTGGATTGAGGTCGGAACTCTGAACTGACTCAAGTGCCTCTTAACATCCATTAGTCGTAATACCGAACTCCAAATTTGAAAACTGCTTGCATTCTGACATCGCAGAAATATGCATGAACTATGCAAAGTTTATACCTGGCTCATCAAGCATGCATAGGTCTGCAATGCATAGGAAATTGAAAAACGTGTTATAGACATGAACATGAAGATGACGTGGACTAACCAGGAGGACCAGGGGGTCCGGGTGGTCCATGGGATCCTTGCATTCCCTTGTCTCCCTCAGGTCCTGGCAAACCAGCAAGACCAGGGGGACCTGGATATCCGGGTTCACCTGTAAGCCATACATGACATATTTGGCAAATGTACCCTCAAAGAAAAGAAAGAAACTGATGGCTTAAATGTATAGACCCTTTGGTCCGGGTAAACCAGGTGAGCCAGCGGGACCTCTTGATCCAGGTTCTCCAATCTCTCCCTTTGGCCCTGGAGGACCATCTAATCGTAGAGTACCAAGTCGCCATCGGCATCCACGAAACCCAGGGAGTGATTAGAAAAGACAAAACAGGAAGTCAAGGTTGGCGAACAGAAAATTTTCCGTCATTCATACATTTGAAGCAAGAGAAATATTGAGACAACCAGGCATCTCAGGAATTCCTTTCCGACAGAAACCATCCTTTACAACTATATCCTCCAATATGTTCCGATTCGGTCTTCATTCATGTATGTTGCTTGCATAAAAAGAGTGGAAACTGGAGAAAAGAGTGATAGTTTTTTGCGTAAGTTTACTAAGGCCAGTGAACTGAAAACAGCAAAACTCGCACCAAATATCCTGCGAAAGGCGCACCTTCATTGAATCATACGTTCGTCTTAGGTACATTGGAGAAGTGTTTAATATGTTATTGGCATCGCAACTTGCTGAAGATAGCGTGCGCTGTGTTCATCAAATATGGCTACCTCCGTTGGAGGAGCATCCAGGGAACATCAGGGAGTTGTGATTCACTTTGTTGAGCAGAAGGCGCGAAACTACGTGCCATCTATCCATCACCGAATTGGCTGCCGGTTATGGGGACCCGTGTTTGTCCAAGAGAAGAGTTAATGAACGGTGCAAAATGTTTAATGGAGGAGGAATAAATGTTGAGGAAATAACCCCCGACTTGGACAGGCCATTATTGTCATCACACACTCGAATATCAGAGGGGTGGACGATGTCGTTACAGCAAACACGTGACTGGCATCTAGAGACATGCGTATAGGTAGGGATTCGCCATGAGTATCAGATCTCAACCGTCCTTGATCGCCTCCAATACCATTTTCGTGTGCGCCAAATGGATATAGAAGTGCGTGATCGACGATCAAAAGACTTTCCGAATCTCACAAATCTGCAGCGCTATAATGCTGAAGGTTACCAGTTTTTTCAAACTAAAATGTTAACATGTAGTGAGGTTTGGTTTCGTCATTTTGACACAGAGTCAAAATGTGCCAGAGTGTGGGGAAGGTCTCTCTTCTCCCCCGCCGAAAAAATGCATGAATCTGCTTCAGTCAGGGAAGTCTTGGCAAATATGTTCCTTGACTATCATGGGCCACTCCCGCTGGGCTTTCTGGCCCAAGGGCAAAACGGTCAGCTCGGAGAGATATTGAACCACGTTGCTCAATAGATGTCGTTGTGCGTCCAATAGTGAGCGTCCTGAACTGTTGCTATAGAGCATGATCTTTCTCTGAGACAACGTTCGACCTCAGAACGCTCTTGTAACGGTGGCCACAATTCAAAACCTAGCTTGGGTGATCTTTGGCCATCATCCATAGAATTCAGACATGTTACCAAGTGATTTTCACCTATTCGGCCATATGAAGAGGGCGTTAAGATGCCAGCTATACCACTCGGACGATGACCAAATACAGGCATTGAGAATGAGGTGCCATTAAATGACAATGTTGGTTTGGGACATGCTATAAAAAATATGGTTGAGCGGCGAAACAAGAGTATCAATGCCCAAGGAGAATATTTTAAAATTAAAATTTACACTGCATTAATGGCCATAATACACTCAATGATGTATTCACCTGACTGGCTCTAATATATGACTCATTTTCGCAGACTTGAAGTAATTCTGGTCATCTAGTAACCACCACATTTTAAGTCCGGCAGTGAATGAGTTAAGGTTTCCTAGATTCCGTTTCGCCACTGGCTATGTCCTTCGCATAAACCTGGGTGCAATCATCGTAACTGAGTAAAGGGAGTTTAAACACAGGAATATACTGTATATGAACAGGAGGTACTTGGTGGGAAAATGCCGGCATAGTCCATCCCCTTTTCTGTGGAGGCAACAAGAACTAGACGAAAGTTTTTCATGAGGACGAGTAATAAGACCATCCCATATTGAAGTATGAAAATGATACCTTTCTCTCCCGGTTCTCCAGGTTCTCCCTTTTCTCCACGTTCTCCAGGAGGTCCTGGAACTCCTTGACGTCCGGGGATACCGGGGAACCCACGAGATCCCCTCTCTCCTGGCAATCCTGCAATAACACCCATATTGATTCGTATTTTTCGCTCTCATCTCCCATTCATATCATGAACCCCATTCTTCAAGCGGGGGTTTACGTCATATTTATGAACAGTGATTATAAGGCACTCTCTAGGTGTGTGACAGGAGTAGGAAAATGCAAGACAGTTCAGGAAAGCTTGGTGGATAGTTTAAGAGCATGGGAGAGTTACATAAAAAAAAGCCACGGCCTAAAGTCATTGTGAAACCGTTGTGGAGCGGCGAAAGTTTCTCATCATCTTTGTTGAGCCAATCTGGGTCATGAAAGTACACGCGTACCTCTCGCTGCTTGGAATTTCTCATCTCTCCAGACAGTTGCAGAACTGACAGTCATTGCCTTGCGATAGTGTGCTGCGTATGACAATACGTAGCTGATTCTGCTATGCGTTGGGCTGAAGTCACAATAAGTACTCCCTATAAGGCACGTGCTTTGTCCTATCAGGTTTTCCCCCAAGTTTTCCCAGAGTTTCCCCGAGTTGTCACGTGAAGCGTCCATGCAATGGTGTCGTACAACTCTCAAGTGATGTTATAATCTCTCTCTGTATTACAGATGATCGGCGTAATTATAATAACGAAATTGTTGCTTCCACATGTCCTGTGCAGTTAGAAATGTGATGTTTTCAACTAACGAACAGAAGCTTTGAAACGGTCCGCGTTAATATAACTTCAGCCTCGAAAATAATGACAAAACTTATTTAACTGGCATGCGAAAGAATTGTCTGACAATATCAAACAAATATTAGATTATTCATAATTACTTTAGAGTGTTGCTCTTTCGTATCCAAAATGAAACATACCAGGTTTGCCTGGAACACCATCCTGACCATCCTTTCCAGGCGGGCCGGGCGATCCACGCTCTCCCTTCGGAACTGAAATGAGCATATTACGTTGTTGCCCTGTATCCTCCAATCAGCCATCCAAGTAAATACACAATCACATTATTCCTTATTGCATATATTCAACACACTATTTGGATAGATCGTTTCGCAAATATAATGCACAACCGAGTTCGTTTCCCCGAAAGGCAAGCATGCATTCAATATTTTCCCAAAGCAATTATTGTAAATTTTTCACATGCTTTTTGTTTGAAGTAGGGGCTAAATCGGACAGATCTCTAGAGCATCGTCAACCGCTCACCGATGTTGGTGACATGGAACTTTCAGCCCTTAGATGCCTCAGGTAGTCTGCATGGAGACATGGCAATTCTGGTATTGCAAATGACATTTTAACAGTTGACTCATCGGGCATGATAGAAATTCTCGTTTTTTTTCTTTGTTGGGCAGCATTAATTGATATACTGTTTGCTTTGCAATCCCCGCTAGGTTTTGGCATGTAGAAGCATGGATACCTGCAGTTCTCTTGGCCCTGCCATGGAAATATGCGTGGCCCTCCAAAGACCTAATTACGAACTACTTGGAGGATCTCAATTTATTAACTCGCCTGAGCATTTACTCATGCATCCAGGGCTCTGTTGACTAAATTAAACGCCGCCTCGCTGCTAAAATCCCCCATTCTGTCTACGATTATTTCAATTGCCATTTTCTGCCGTCTCCTGGGTCCAGCAGTCCCTCAAAATGTTGCTGTTTTTTCATGAAAATGTTTGACAGAACGGAAAAATGCATATAAAGATAAAACGGACCTATTAATCATCTTCTTAACCCAATGGTTAAATGTTACATTTAAAAATGTCATTAAATTTGAAACATACAAGAGTATGGATGATGCACTTGGATAGACATGGACATATTACATTAATAACTGGATTGAGCTAAGCTACATTGCATAAATACCAATGTTGCATTAATGACAAAATTGCAAAACTAAGCAATTAGGCAAGGAAAGTTACATGCGTCGTTCACAGAAGAGTACCTTGAAATTTATCTGGTGGCGACATTGGTGGAGACTCAAGTACGCACGGGTCATCAGGAGAGCCAGATCGACCTGAAATGGAGACCAAACAGTTAATAAATTGTGTTTCATCCCCCACACACAGTTAATTCCTTATCATGACCTTTCACTTGCAGTATGCGTAAAAGTTATGTATGATAACTGATGCATAAATTCATGCAACTTGCAAGGTTCACGGTTTTTGGTTGTGATATTTCAAGTGAACCGCTAAAACAACATCTCTCAAACGGCATGTATCTGCGAATGAGATATGACGTTTTTGCAAATGTCAATTTCTTGCGAGTGTCAAGCAAACAATATTACATTCGCATGAAATGTACGTTCCCATATTAACAACGCCAACGTTGATGTTCATTTCATATAAACCAGGCGTAACTTCACCTAATACAATGTACATGAAGTAAAATGTAAAATTAAAACAAAGTGCATAGGTTGGTACATAGGTACATATAGGGATGCTGACTTAAAATTCAGCCTTGTTGAGTAAATGGCTCGGGAACACATATATTGCAATAATATTTTTTCTAAATATTTTTTTTTCGCTTCAGTTAAATGTAGAGACCTGGAAAGCAGAACTTGGCATGAACGTACCGACAAAGATAGCGAGTTCATAAAAAAAAAGTCACATTTCAGATGTATCCCCCTGGGTGTATTTTTTGGGATTTGGCATTAAACATTTATTTTTTATCCTAGCAAATCGAGCAGAAATAGAAAGGTGAAACTAGGCACAAGCATAACTGACGTATTGCTGAGTCTATAAAATTTAAACTTTTGTGGTGGATCCCCTCAAGGCCCAGCTTTTGGGTGGGTCGCCTTTCCAAATATATTTTTGCACCAGCGGAAAAGGCAAACATATAAGGCTTAAACTTGTTTGCCATGGAGTTCTCCGAGTACCGATTTCAAATTTCAAAATATTATTTAGGTGGAACCACTTAGGACATAATTTTTGTAATATACGCATTTTCTAGAATAATTTTTGATCCAACGAAAAAAAGAAAGAGAGAGAGAGAGACAGAAAATTGAAACTTGGCTTAGCAGTAACTGTTCGATTTCTGAGTATAGGAAAAGGTATACTTTAGAATTATTTCCTCTCGAGGCAGATTATGGGAGGGAAGTATTTCACTATTTCTTCTCCCCTCTGAAAAAGGCGCATATAAAGAGATTCGAAGTCAGGCAAAAATTAAAGCATCGTAGTAATTAAGTCGATAACAATCTGTGTTACATTCCCTTATGGCCCACATTTCGACAGGGACTTGTTTTAAATAGGTATTTGCCACTTGGAGAATGACTTCATGAATTAATCATTATCCTCGATAATCGAGCACCGAAGTGGCCCTCACGATTAATATAAACATGCTATTTGGGAATCGACTTACTTACACATATATAAGCATATTTACACATATATGCTGCTAAGGATTTTAGCGTGACTGCCAATTTCATGTAAAATGTGTGTCGATTTTGTCACAATTTGCGTATCCCAGAGGCGACATTTTCGGAAATATGTTGACTGTGTTGTTGAAGCGCTACATAAAATAGGCATATAACGAGAAAATAGTACATTTGTTTTATATAATATTATCTCGAACTCGTACACAGTAGCTTTGATGTGACTTCTATATAGGGCCTTGTAGTGATCTCGTTGAGAATTACAATAGTTATTTTTAGATATGGATCATATATGTGGCCTAAGCTAACATGGAGAAAGGAAAAATACTACCGCTCTTAGGAGAATATGTGCAAATCGTGAATGTTCAGTCATGGAAAAATTATTATCTTCGGTTGCCTAAGCAGAATTACGAAGAGAGACACCTCACTCTGGTTTCAGACCAAATCTGACAGTAAAAGGAAAATATTGGAACTGCGGCTACCGTTTTATTGTGCATCACGTGTTTAAAAAAGAATACTTGATAATGAGAAAAAAATACCATTGCAAAAAATTCCTATTCCTACATCAAACAGAATGGTGTTTGCCTGATTATTTATATATACTGGCAAAGATCATAGCGCAATGACTTATAGATTCATGACAGATAAGAAGAGGATGACTGTGAATCGTACCAATGTCCCTCGGCTTCCGTTTTGAAGCATGTTTCCGGGTTTTGAAAAATTTTTCAGGCTTTGAGGCTTTCTTTAGAAATTGCATCGTCTGATCAGGGAGAGATGGTCCTAGGTTGCATCCCTTGCACCAACGTACTTCCAGTATTTCCACCCAATTACTCTCATCTGAAGGGAATTTCAGAAGGGGATTTCGCCAGTCAGCTGGGAGAAAAGGTGCACAGTATAAATATAAATGATATTTATAAATAATATAAAAGGAACACTGTATATATAATATTTTTAATATCACTCAGTTCCTGATAGTATTTTTGTTGGACTTGTCGTAATAGCTGGAATGAAGCAAATGAGCAGCATATGAGCGGGCGATCTCCACCATGTTGCATGTGTTATGGCAACGTGGCGTCGTATTTTACATACTCCTAAATGTTTAGACCATTTTCATGGCGCGGGTGTTGCGGAACTTAGGAAAGTCTATTTGTTCCTTTGATTTTGGGAAACAGTGCATGTCGACGTGTATTCATCTGTTTCCTGTTCCTCTCTCTCGCAATAATGCTACCAATGAAAGAAAACAATGTCGACCATCGGAAAAACTGTTCAAATAAAACTAAAATAAAATAGGAAAATGCATAAAACATATAATGAATGGATACTAGAAATATGTAAAAAGAAAGCTAGGTTTCGGCTATTATTCTTCAGCAACATGAATGGAAAAATACAGCAAACTAAGTGAGACAATATGGAGGACAGGAAAGTACCCATGAAAGACAGACATGTCCTGTTAAACTTCGAAACGCAGCAGTCTCGTCAGCTCTGGGCCATAGCACTCCTGGACTCTCATGAGGATTGTTAAAATGTAATGAGCTGATTCTCATTGTTGAAGAGCAGGCTTTCGAGTTCTGAAAACCCTCTCCTTTCTCAAGGTATCTTCAGCTGAATTGAATCTATCTCTTTACTCTTTCTTTAAGAATATAGTTAAGCCCATTCTTTAAAGTTATTCAAACTAAACCTCAGTAGCCAGCAAGGCTTGGTTCTGTCCCGAAAAGTAGTTATTTTCGCTTAAACAATTTCACGAATGTGGTTCCAGCGAGATCTTGGATGTAAAGTGGTTGAGGTACAGTGGTAATGCCAATGCTTGCTAACAATTCGAGAAGTGCGGCAAAGTGCATTGTTGTGATGCATCAGTCATCTCCTCCCTTTTCCCTCTAATCTCCTCACCGCCATTCAGGACGTTTTATTCAAGTGTGTAAAAGTTTGGTCAGAAATGGCGCATAAACGTTTCCCCGAAGAGCAGGCCTGAGCATAAGGCATATTTTAGGATTTTGACACTTATTTGTAGCAAGGGACTGCTTATAAAACGTCATGGACAAAATTGTATTCTTGTATAAATGAGAATACTAGCTGATGTACTGACAGAAATGTATCAGACTTCACAGGAAATTGCAGATGAAAGTAGGACGTCACAACCATGCTAACTTCGATGAGAACCTTAACTGCAATGAAATATAACTGCGAGGGTTACGTGAGCATGGACATAAAGATAATGAGTACTAACTAGGCCGACCAGGAACACCAGGTGACCCCTTAATTCCATCTTCACCACGTTCTCCAGGAGATCCCTGGGGACCTGGAAGTCCAGACATGCCAGGAAGGCCAGGGTTCCCCCGCAATCCAGGAATACCTAGATTCAAAAGAATAGTATTTATTGAAAGGCTCTTGAAAATGGAATGTGGTTTAAACATTGCATCAAAAGCAGCAGTTATCAAAGCTTGAAAACCAGAAACGAACCATTTGTACCATTGAAGCCAGCAGGTCCTGGGGATCCAGGGGCACCATTTGGTCCGACTGGTCCGGATCCCCCTCTTTCTCCCTTCTCACCTGGAATACCACTTAGTCCTGGGGAACCTGATTGTCAAAGACATCCAGTGAACACAAGGGAATCATTGACGAAAGCATAACAAAAAGTATTGGAACTGTCATAATAAACAAATTTACATTACCAAGTGTGAAATATGGGAAGATATTTAATACTGACCAGGAAGTCCTTCCTTCCCCAACATCCCCGGAGCTCCCTTCAGACCTGGAGGAAACATCCTATTAAGCATATCTTCCACTTCCTACTTCAATAACTTGGTTCGATCTTGTAATGCGCATGTCTTTTGTGGTGCAATATGCACGTACCCATGAATATACATGGTATTTAAATTTCCAGGGTTATGGGGAGTTATTTCCTTCCAAGTTCAAGTTTCTACGTGTAGCAACCGTCAAAAACGCTTTAAGGATATATTTTCCAGAATCTTAGGAGGAGGGAGGAGCTTTCATTTTTAAGAAAGGAGAAATTTATATACGACTCAGTTATCACTATGTAGGCTTAAAACGTATGAATTCTCGCATCAAATAAAAAAATGTACGTTTGTTTATTTCTCAGTTCCCCCGATCGTTGACGCCTTATTCATTTGGTTTCCAATTAATAACGGACCCAGAATTCCAGGACGTCCTGGCGAACCCGGCATGCCTGCAATGCCCATTTCTCCAGGCTCTCCCTTCGGACCTATAACAATCACACTGTTTAAATGTGTATTTCCTTCCCATATTAGTAAATTAGAACGTATTGTCTTAAAACACTTGGTTTTGGAAAAATGAGACAAATTATGCGTCATGAATTAAGTTAATAACCATGCTTAACCATTTTTATCGATATACACCACTGGAAGGTGGAAATTTCATTTCTGGTTCATAACTTGGAAAAATAAATGGGAAACACCAGCTGATGCTGCTCATTTGTCATAAATATAATGCAGTAATTTTCAGATGTATACTATGTTCATAATACATTGGCCGCCACGCATCAAAATGCATACATTTGAGTACCAATAGTGATCATCATGGCAGACAATGTGTTAAAAAAAGGTTTCATAGAAACATACCTTGCCCTTCAGAACCAGGTAAGCTCATTCTCTTTGAACCTGAAAGAAGGAACCATTTTCTTTAACTTTATTCCAATCCCAAGTAGTAAAATAGTACTGTTAAATGCACACAAAGTAAATGAGCAAGAGTAAATATTCTGGTAAGCACAATTATCATTTTGAATCGTCCGGAGCTATAACTCGGTCATGGAGTGATATACATTTCAAGTTGTATAATTATGCTCGGCAATTTGATATTCATCCAATGCTCTCAATATCAAAAGGGTCCAAAAATTGTACCCTACTTTGCATCCAGGTCCTTAACCCTTCGGAACTGCGTGAAATCGATGCGCTCTCCCTCTCGAGCGGAGTTTTAAGATTAGGAGTCAGTTTACCCTTTGCGCAATTTTTACGTTTGTAATACCAAAAAGGTCAACGTCCAATTGTGACAAACACAGAAGCACAAAGAGACCACAGGCATTAAAGAGTGTTCTTCAAAAGTATCAAGAGCAACAGTCTTAGTATTAAAGGTATTAATAAAGGTATTAATAGCAGTAGGAAAGAAAACCAAAGACGGACGATGTGATTCCTGCGAATGACAGTCATCCCCTCGGCAGCAATCTTTCAAGGAATTCACTTTCAAGTCTTTAAATTCTGTTCCATTCTGACACCTCCCATGTATCGACAAATGGAATTTCTCATGATAACTCATCCATGCCACGTTGCAGTCGCAATGGATGGGGTTCCCTGGAAAGGAAAAAGAGCGAAATAGTGAATGTATGGAAATGGAATGACAGAAAAGACAATGATTTTTCGTTGTTTCCGGTGTAATGGGAGTATGCTCAACTCACCTGCTAGATGAAGCGATCCATCTCCAAGCAAGAGGACTTCCAACAAAGGTTGAAATAATTCCCAATACAATAGAGCAATTGCATTGTTTCCTAGGTCAATTCTCGTGCCCGGCATGATACCTGGAATGGGAAACAGAACACTTCGTACGTCACGCATTGAAAAGATAATGAGTTAAGGTAGGAATACCGTAATTAAACAATTTTTCCGAAATAGAAAACGTTCCTGCAAAAATAGGCTCAAACTATACGTCAGACACTGAAGATTGCTTTCCCGTTGGAAAAAAATAATGAAACTTTATTACGTGTACTTTTAACTAAATAATGCAGTATTGTATTTTTACCATCTCCTTAGTACCGACCTTGACCCTTAAACACCATATGTTAGAAAATATGACAAATTAAAATTTCAACACCATAATTTTTGTTGAAATTCACTTTGGATTCCACCTCTAGGTGCCTCATTTCGCGCAGTCGGTAGGTTCCGTAGTTTTCGATGAACTTTGCGGATGGCACAAAGGGCGTAAATTCACTTCCCTTATTGATTTCCCGAAAACTCATTTTCACAAAAAGTACAGGGCTTTTGAGCACGACATCTCACGACCTAGAAGAGATATCCGTATGATTTTTTGCACTAAATTTCCTTGCATTGGTAGTCGTGGAATGACGAGAGCATTTTTTAATATTTTGGGTGTGATTTGAATAATTAGCATATTTATACGTAAGAAGCAGGTCAAAATGTAGGAACATTTTTAATTGGTAGAATATTTTCCTTCTGGAGGAATTTCACAAAATTGCTCCATCATTCCTAGCTTCATGATGCCTTTTATTATATGTGTGAATTTCATCCATCTATATTCAAGGATTTTTAATATATCGTGTTTGGAATTTCGCTACTTTTTCCACTCATACCGGCCATATTGACACCTAATTAGCACACTTTATGCAAACTATGCATGAAATCGAATTAGTTTTTCGATCCCTGCAACCTGATGAACAGAGTTGATTTACACCAGTGGAACTCGCCATATTGATCTTAAAGGGGTATTGCTACCTTAAAGCCTAGTGCAAATGCTTACTTAGGATGTATACATTATAAGAAGCTAGAAGAAACGAAACTAAAAAAAAAAAGATGTTGACATTATCCCAAATTTAAGACCCCAGCTGGAATATTGCATCCAGTTTTGGAGGCCTACACATAAGGGCGATTTGTTGGCGCTCGAGGGAGTACAGAGGAAGGCCACAAGAATGATTAAGGAGGTTAGGGGACTATCATACGAGAAGCGTTTAGAAGTGTTGGGACTGTACTCGCTCGAACGAAGGTTAAGGAGGGGCGATCTCATCCAGGCTTTCAAGATAATTAAAGGAATAGATAATGTCGAATGTGGTAGGTTTTTCCAGTTTGATGACAGCAAGAGAACGAGAGGTAACCGNATTAGGTCTGCTCTAAAATTAAGGAACGCTCGACCTCGACACGTGATATCGAAATGGGCGAAATCGCATCTTGATATCACTAACTCTCCTGACTCCTGACTCCTGACAAATAAGTTTCCTCTAGGATGTTTGCCTACATCTCAAGCAGATGAATCACAATAAATACAGTATATCCGTTCCCGGTGAAACCTGAGAAGTGTGCATTATGATAAAGCATCAAGAAAATTCGGCATTTGAGAGGCATGTTGGGAAGCACTAGTAGAGATATTTAGTACTGAACCGCTTGAATGCGAGACCTGAAAAGTTTTGCGTTGGTCAAATGTTATAATTATACTGATAAATATGTTTTGGTGCCGATTCATGTGTAGAATATGAATTTCCTTGTACCCACGTGTTTTCACAGACCTATGAAAGTGATGGATCTCGTACATTTCTATTGATCCATGTATGCAGCTAGTCGACCATTCTCAACCAGTTCGGAACTACTACTTCAAGTCTTCGTGTCAAAAGGTTAAAGCTAGCAAAACCCTTTTGTCGTCATTTTTTTCATGGCAGCTTAAGGTGAATATCCTATGTCATTTCAGATTTGTGATTCCCTTTCAATAAAAGCAAGGAAAACTAAGGACTCAACTAGCACCTGTAAAGAAAGTGCAATAAAAACTAACTGAAAGGAATTGATTTCCTCCAGAGACTTTCATTTTAGGGTTCACTACGGAAAATGACGTAAAACTCGGTTTCTTTTCATGTTGAATCTCGATTTCAGTGAATCCGGAATAAACTTACACTTTCTATGCGTTGCAGCTGATGAATATATTTAAGTGACTCCAGTACGCTGGAAAATAGATCCCTCTGAAGGTGTCTCCTCTTTAGCCCGATTTGTTTGCAGCCAGAAGTGATCATGTATCAAGTGAAGTTTCTTTCATCCATGTGTTTTAAAGTAAATGTGGAACATCGACTATATCCGGTACTTTGGAAAGAATTTCGCCGAAAGATCTCCAAACAACCCAACTTTTTTCCCGGTGGGGATGGGGGGAAAATTCCAAATAATCCTTGATTGTATGTGGTTGAGTAAAATACCCAGTTATGGACCACTTCTCATAGCACGCCTACCCTTGTTGTGACATAGGTCAACAGCATGCAAGCACCTACACACCTCAGAGGTGTTCATGTTACAATATTCCTAGTTTTGAAATTTTCCTTCGCCGCGGCATATCACTGAGTAGACGCCTTTAACATTGTGTGCTTCACGCTAAATGCGTCAAACCTGTGATGGCTCCCGGCTCCAGGCTCATGATGTAGTTCTGTTTGAGATTGACTTCCCTCAAGGCCTTACTGCGGAACTCCAACAGCCCACTTGAAAGAATCGGTCCCAGTCTGCACGAAGCACACTTGAATTCCTCCAATCTCTCCAACCCCTTAACGACTGCCGAGGGGAACTTCGATAGAGGATTTGAACCTGGAATATGCATGGCATATGGATTTGCCTTACTAGAACGAACCAGCCCTCCTTTCCGGATAAACTAAAATAAACTGTATGGTGTACGAGTAGGACTCAACCTTGTCCTTCATTTTTTCACTGCGCTGCAATCTTTCTCACTAAAATTAACCTCAATTAAGCGGATAATATCGCGAAAGCTGCTTAAATTGCATATCTCCCAATAATACAAAGGACTTCATTATTTCTTCATCAGGCGCAATCACATCATTGTAGTACAGTATAACATACGTTCTCCCTCTAAACTGAAGGACTTGAACAGGGTTGCGTCTCCTAGGTCGTAAATTCTTTCGCTTTACTTATATTACAGTTACTTTTCAATTTTTCAAAATATATACATTCTATACACGCATCCATTTGATAAGATCTCATCAATCGACATCACTTTCATCCTAGAAGTATGCATTGCATCTTAAAATTTGAGATGGAATTTGATTTGACTAATTTTTCACCTAATTAAATTTCAGAAAGCGTAAAATTCGGGAAGGATTAATACATAGTACTCTTGAAGCAACTTATAGCTTAGACTCGATTTGACGGTTTTGTTGATTAATGAAGGACTTAATCCCTTTCGAAGTGAATGGCTGCGTCAAAAAGGAATACATATTTGGTAGAGGGTATAGAGAAGACAGAAGAGGTCTACGAACTAGAGGTTAAGTTTAAAAATCGTTTTGTATTGCATTATATGCAGTAGACTCACTGATGTCGAGTATCTTCAAGTTGGGAGTAACCCATCTGTCTTCCTCTACTTTGGAGATGTCATTTGACGAGAGGTCGAGTTCCTCCAGTGTGAGGCTGTAAAGGAGCGCGATCGACGCCAGGTTATTGTGGGAGAGATTGAGATTCCTGAGACGTGGCCATTGGGGAAGAAGGGCAAAAGGAAATTCAGTTCGAGAATTCGCCGCAACATTCAGATATACGAGCCAGTCCGTGGAGGACAAAATAGCTGAGATACGGATAGTCTTCACAGTGGTATGAACCAGATGCATGGACTCGAAAGATACTTCCCCGAACGCACCTTCCGGGAGCTCCTTCACAGCCGAGTTGTTTTCCAGTATGAATCGCCTGCAAGAAGGTAAAGTATATGAAGATGGATCTTGCCTCGTTTCAATATTGATACCTTTGAAATATTGAATAAATCTTAAATATTAGGGGAAGAATCACCGAGAAAAATAACTAAATGAACCAAGCAAATGATAAGGAGCAATGCTGCTAAGCGGCAGAAAATAAATTATTTTGATGTCATATTGTGAAAAAACACTGTCTACTCAATTCTCATCATCCAATAAATAGCCATTTATGTTTTTTTCGAGCATGAATATGTAGTCTAATAAGACTAAGACTATCTATGGATTCTCGGAATCTTCCCTGGGGACCTCTAAATCTGGACGTGTAATTCATATCGGTTTCCAAGATTATTCAAGGACCCCTTCACGATGTTTACTCGATGTTGTTCCGTTTCTTCACTGAATTCAATGCGTCTTGATTTAGCTTTTTGCATGGGTTGTTTGAATCAATTATATCCCTTCTTCGAATCCCTCGCAGACTTCTAAATATCGTCTCCAACAAGAAAATGTACTTGTACGTTAAAGTTGGGGGAAGGAATTTGAGAACCCCCCCTACGGAGTATTCCATCAGTCACTCCATTATTTATTCATGGGAACGCAAAAAAAAACTTCAAAAGCGCAGGAAGAACGGATAGATCAAAGGAAATTGAATACATAAAAATAAGATGGGGAGTGCCTTGGAAAAATGAACATCCTTCAATGCAATATTCCACTTGTGAATATATTCTTGTTATGCCAAACGGTGCGGCTAAGTATACGCTGCATTGATATGTTATAGGTGTCAGAGAGGAAATTGACAAAGGAACCATATAACAGTATAGTCACGGTCAATTTCCAGTTCAGTAAAAATCAAATAATAAAATAATGGAGACATTGATCAGGGAAATTACGCTCCTATTGCAGCTTTTGAGCTGCTTTTCCTTTTCTTCAGAGATAATGCTATTCTCCCTCGAAATGTGATTCTCTGTTTTACGTATGGCTCGGCTGAAGCCATCCCCCCAGGATCACGCGGATGCTCGATTCATTTCTCTTTCAAGTTGACATGACGCCAGATGCACACACAGCCGGTGGTGATGACACGATGGAGTCAAGGTCTCCATTATGAGGCATTCGATCGAGTGCTTTAGGACGAGTCATGACGAGACCATGCATCTTGTTATGAATAAAAGGATAATTTCAGTCATAAACTCAACGTTTCCCATAATCGTACTTGATGCCGTGATAAATAGGACTGACTGAGTACTATTCCCTGCTTTCGATTCTCGTTTGTAGACCCAATCGAAAAAAAAACCTATTCTATTACGATTACGGCTTCATGCATGTACACATTAATTGTTCATTAGAGTTTTTCTTGCCTTTAGTGGTGACTAGAAACTCCAAACAGCCGCAATGTTGCAATAGGTAAGTCTTAATTTTGTAACTAACGGATGTGGTATGGAATGCATTAACGCAATGATAATAGTATTCGCTGGGGATAAGGAAGTATTGCCTTCTTCGTGTCTCAGACATACCCTCAATACATTGTAATCGCGTTTCATGGTCTACGTCCTTCAAAGAGGGGAACTCAAGAATTAGTCCAAATTTGGAATTTCCATTTCGACTGACCACGATACCAATGAGTATTCCATCCACCGGAAGAAAATTATTCAACCAGTTTTTAAATAAAGGCTATCATTAGCACGTCAAAAGCCTATGTGAATAGTTCCAGAACATTCGAAAAAGCACTTCATAGTTCGCGCGTCCGCGTTGGGTGGAAATGGTAGGGGAGTAAAACATGTAGCATGCCGTATTCGGGATTTCAACCATGTGCACGATACCGAAGGCACCTGTCCTCAACGTTTCCCAACTTTGAATACGTCAGCTGCGAAGACCGGAAGAGAATTGGTAATGTTGGCCGGTGACTGACACCAACACGTAGCGTCAAGGCCACGCATTCACAATTATGCTATTGCAATAAAACCCCAGTTGGCAGGGAAACTGAAGTATTATTATTATCTACTTACTAACCATTACTTCCTCTCCCACAAGGTTTGGGATACCTTGCGTTTTGCTTTGCGTCCTAGAAGACGATGTTTTCTAGGACGCCGACTTCTTCAACAATGCCTACGAAGCAATGCTCCGGGAGTCGGCTGCAGTGTAATAATTGCATGGAGCTTATTGGTGACAGCATTCAGTGGGTAACAGTCTCACAAAAATTTCCAGAAAATGTCATGAGATTATGTTGATAAATAAATTATTTATGAACTTGAGATTTTTACTTGAGATTTTTCAGAAGGCCCACGTATGATCGCTCAACCACCCGAAAAATCCAAGTTGTTGCAGGGACTTCCCTGCGGACCAAATAGGTACGTAGATAAGGCTAGACGCTCGAGACTAAAAACATAACGTCATTGGCTCCACTAAACCCATGTCTTTCAGATGTGGCCCCTCCAGTTGCGGAACAGTCGAACAAACCTCTAATATTTTCTACTTATTCTGACGTTTGGGGAAAAAGAAATATACGCGAAAGCAGGCGAAATGAATTACATTGTTGTGCCTTGGAGGAAATATGAATGATGCAAAAATATATTCATCAATTAGAGTGGAGAACAGGACTCAATCGATATGAATAAAAATAGAGTTGACTTTTGACATGACTCAGTTATATTGCTTTTGCAGCTCGGATACAAATTATGTACACTAAGTAAATGTGTATGCGATTATTTCTAAGAAATATACGTTTTGTGATAACTACGTGCCCTGCAGCCCCCAAGTTTCTCTTGGCTTATTGCCGAGAGTTTGCGTGGATGCAGGGTCCGACTTAACTCGATATGATTGTCAAAAAAGCTCTTGCATTTAACACAGGATTAGTGTTGAAAAACAACTTCCTCTTTTCTCCTCCGCTTCAGGCATAACTGGAAAATGAATTCTCTGTGCACAACAGGCGCAAATATAATTTGACAACTATGGCTGAATGCGTAGCAACAATAAATTGAGAGAGGGGAACTATTTATCACCCACCAAAGTTGAATTTTCGGCCAGAAAGCTTTGTTGAAAGCCCACCAGATCTCTTCACTTGTGCTTGCTTTCGAGCAATCCACTGTCACATTTCCGTCGAAGTATTTGTAGCAGATGCAAGGTTGTATGTCTTCCTCGCTTGGACAATCCTGGTGCCCCGTTACCCGGGGCGTAAATGAGAGTAGAGCAAGGCACAAAAAGGCGGATGATCTAGACATCACGGCAAAAGGCGCAAGCTACGATGTAAGAAAAGGCGGATGATGATCTCCCTCTGGGATTACAGACCTCCTCTCAGATGATCCGTGGAGATCCAAGCCTATTCATTAAAAAGAAAAACAGCACGTGTTCACTTAATGTAAATTGCTGAATGTTGTCATAAAATCCTGACGTGGCCAAAATTCTTCAGTCAACAACTGAGTGCCGAAGGTGAAATAAATAAAAGACAGTATTAGAGCAACGACTGCACATGTTTGAATTTAACTGCAAATCTGTCATTTTACAATGATGTAATGCATTAATATGCTCTCTTGAATATATACTATACAAACTATTAGATAACCACACGGTTGAGGAAAACATATGAGATCGCGAAACCCTAAGACAGGGATGAAACACGAAAATAATCTACCGAGATAACCTACTAAACGGTCTGTTTGGATCGGACGTGAAAAAAGCTGGGTAAAATGGGAAGCCAGTTTCGGTAACAAGGCCTTAGCATCCTTCATTACAACTTTACCTACCTACGGTTCATCCTACCTCTTGGACAGATCGGGAGAAGTCTCCCTCGCAAGTACTCCGAAAATCTGGAAAATCGAGAAGCTGATATGAAGAAGCAACATGTGTATGACCCTAAAATCGCCGAATGGACATTTATTCTTAATTCTATCATACTTGGGGATTAAGCTTTCAATTATGGAGTTGGAACGATTTATTTGGCTGTTTTGACTGACAGTTAATAAATCTATTTCGACGGAAGTTGCAATGAGGCTTGTCGAAATATGTCACACACATTTCTAAGACACATGTATTTTAAAACATTCAGAATGATCGATTTAGTAGCGGAAAAATTAATTTCAAATGCGTGTTTGGGAAAACCAACAGTTGCCTTCCAACGGCTAAAAGGTATAATAAAAAATAGCCTGCCTGAAAATAAATTATTTTCAACGAGAAGACAATCCATGAGTAAATATTCCAGGGAAAACAGTTGTTCACACAAATGGACATTCCCTTTTGCCCCAATTGATAGTGCTGAAATGAGCATTCAATCTCTAATAACAAATCTGATTCCTATACATGTGTAACGTCATGATGCCTAATTTATGTCGACATTAAGAAGCCGGTTACAAATTATGATGTTATGCAGCTTCGCAACGGGATATCAGGAAGTGGCTTTCCGAAGACATGTATCTGATGCCCAGTGGTGCACCTATTAGTGCCTTAATTAACACTTTCGCTCTGGAGGATGTGACAGAAGTTTTTTGAAGTCTGCAAAAAAATGTGAAAACTTCGGAATGCAAACATTTTAGACTTGCTCTTTTTTGGAAATGGAAGTATACGGTCTCTATTTTAGTGTGGGAAATTACCAACATTTGAGAATTTTCAAAAGGACATGTTATTGCGTCCATCGGATCGGAAGTTTTAAAAGACACCAACGACTATCTTGACCCATACGCCAAATTCATGGTTCGCGTTATGTTTCGTCGAAGCTATAACCTCCATAGAATTCACATTTTTATGCGAAAAGGCTTCCATCCACGATCATTAAACGGATGAATAAAGAAACAAGGCTTGTACCTCATGGTGAAGTGGTTGATCGGCGTTTATGGTGTTGATTCTATGCCGGATTGATGCTGCCAACAAGAGGGAAAACCAGATGCAGATTGATCATCATGGTATCTGGGAGAAAAATCCGATATTCACAGTTTAGTATTCACAGTTCACATAGGCCCATAACCTATTATTGGAGGAAACTCCATGATAGCGTTCCGTCCGCTATCGAAATAATTTGCGAAATAAATGAAACACCTCTCCTGCATTGCCACACAATATATTAACAGATTTCGACAAGCTTGCCCAAGCAAAGAGCGATATCCAAAAAAAATTGCCTGAAACACATATTAAGCTCGTAGTGCCTCAAGCCTACTGAGAGAGGTACAGAATGAGGAGGGAGAGCACACGGGGCAACTGCTGAGAGTGTGGAAGAAGAGTCGAACGAAAGTTGGTTCATCCTCATTGGTCCAAGCAAGGCCTTGGTATACACTAGCCCATCCTACTGGTTCATATCATTGTTGACGAGTGACTGCACTCACGTGCCTTCCAACATTCCCTGGAATGCACAGACGATAATGAATTACAAGTACCAACTATTAGCTTTCCTTTTAGCCGGGTTAAAAAAAAAGTACATCCCATCTCTTCGCTGACTATGTGGAGTCTCGGAAGTTATGTGAACGCTCCATAGTTTGATGTGGAGAAGATGTACACGCATCGTCCCCCATCGAGAAACGTTTTGCTTATATTTCCTCGTATACTTTGCGTTTCGTAATGACTTCCTAATTCGGGTAAGAAACCCTCTGGCTTGTGGCACCCCGGATTGTTATATTCCAACTGATGCCCACTTGGCGCTTGCTCCATATACGCATATCAACTAATTCTGGGACATATCTTCTGAAAAATATTTTATTGGAGGTACTATTGGGGAATTCATCCCCCGAAACCCAAGAGCTTGCCATCGAAATGGGATCAGAGACGAGAAGCAGATGGGAAAGGGATTCTTTCTTCATTCGCAGTGTCTTTACACCTTGCATTCCTAAAAGGCACGATTCCTCATGTGCATTGAAGCCAATATTGCCACGTTTCCATTTCTTCACTTCAAATTAACTTCGTCTACACGAAAGCCGACAAATGAGATTTGCTGAATCGGTAGTAACAGCACTGCTACAGAGACGTATGTACGAAGGTATTGCTGGGAGGTTGCCATTCTAGAATTCTACCGAGCTCATTCTCGGTGGTGCTCTCATCGAACGCCAATTCGTCCCTACCACGGTCTCCTGCTTCTTCTTTACGTGTATATATTTGCTGCATTACATGGGTGTCCGCAGATCATACATAAAGTTGGCAAAGTTGCAGCTGGCTGGTCACTTGTCCATCCTAACTGAGGGTGGATGTCAAGAGGAGCAAACGCATTCGATATTCCCCAACACCGCGAGATCATTATCGTCGACCTTGCATCAAACATCATGCATGGTCAATTTTCCTCTCCAAGCTAACCTCTGCTAGGGAAATTTCCGAAACAGGTACACCGGCAACTTTCTTTACTAAGGCCGGCAATACTTCCCCCCTCCCTTCCCTTCCCTGACGCACTGTCTAAAGATAAATTCCGGATATTAATTTAGTCGCTTTCCATTGAAATTCTTCGGGATATATACTGTAGAAATACTAAAAACACTGGCCCAATTTCGAATGAGACGTTCATAATTGCTTTCGAATGAGGAAATTTATCTTCATCTAAACAAAGTTGTCGAAAGATGTATTTGGATAACCGCAACTCATTGGATACATTAAGGGACCTTGAAAGGAGGCTCGACCATTACCTAAACATGAACACTCAGCCGGATTCTGGTGCTCCTCAAGC